TGAGCGGCGAGGGAGCGGGACCCTGCGGACCCCAGGGCGCTGGTGCAGGGGACCTGTGCTGGTCTGGGCGTGGGGGCGCGGGTGCCTCGAGCCTGGAGGGAGGGGGAAAGAGCCCCCCGGACACGTACCTGCGGCAGGACAGGGGACAGACAGAAAGTGTCCCCAACTTCTCTAGGGGGCAGCAAGAGCACTCCACATCCTCGCAGGGAGCTGGGGTGCATGGGGGGAGGGGGGGGCAAAGGCCTTGGATGTCGAGAGATTTGCCTCAGACAAACCTGGAGAAGTTCTAGCCTGTCTTCCTATCTTGTGCCTTTTTCATGACCAAGCTTGGCCCTTTGGGGGGCGTTTGGGGACAAACTAGAGAGTTCATCTCTGACCCCGATCGATTGACTGACTGGCATCTGATTCTGCACTGCATATGTGTTCTTAGATCACACTGCGTTGTTCTGGGCTGTATGGTGAGCACAGCCCAGAGACGCTGGCCCATGACCCCTGTCCTCCGACCCCTCCAATGACAAAGCAGCAAAACCTTTTCCTCTGGAATGCCTTTCTTCTGTCTTGCCTTGTTTCATTGCTACAGATTAAGCGAACAGGTTTGTCTCCAAACCTCCAAATTGGATGTGAAATTGTGGTGTCTATGTGTGCATTTTTGAAAGAGCTTCCATCGATTTTATTTGATTCTCCCAAAGAGGAAATAGCTAAACGCACAGCTTTGGGCCCGTCAACATGGATGTCCTGATGGTCTCTGTCTTTGGGGGGCCTGAGTTGCAGATTCTTATTTGAAAGCTGGGATTCGGGGAGAAGTTGGAGGGAGAGATTCTCTCGCGGTTCAGGGAGGACAATATTCACCCACCAGCACAGATTTGTCTGAGTTGAGAACTGGCCTGTTTTCCACTGGTAGGAGATAAAATGAGTTTGCAAATGTATCGATGAGGAAACCAAGGCGAATCTTTGTGAATGGGAGGCTATCCTGGTTTCTTCTTGGTAACCAAAAGTGAGCCCCGCGGTGGAGTTTCCAGGAGTGCTGAGGGAAGGTGAGAGGTGCAACGGTCCAAGTTTATAGGCCCCTGGTCCACTGGAAACTTGGGAGAAGAAGGAGGGACTGGATGTTAACTGAGCCTTGGAGAGAACCAGGAAAACCTGGGGTGTCTGTGGGGGTAAGGCCGGGGGATGCCCTGTGGCGGGGGGGTTGTTATTACAAAATTAACAGATATCCTTGAAAAATCGCATTTCATCAGTCATCCCACTTTACTTGTTCCCACCAAATGGGCAGGAATACTATAGACATAAGGAAGTAAAAGCTGCCATGTGAGTAGTGGCAGTATTTCGGGTCCTGCCCCCGTTATCCCAGAGTGAGGTTCATAGACAGGCTGACATTAGGATAATGGTCCCCAAAACACTGACATCCTGCAGGTAGCTTCAAGCAATCCCAATCTCTTCCCAATTTTAAAGAAAAAATAGAGGGTAAAATTATAATGTGTTTTTTTTTTCCTTTATAAAATCTCCCCAAATCTTCAGTGCCTGCTTTTATTTGTGTGACATCTTGTTTAGGTCAGGATTATGTATCTGGTTACGTTGAGACATGAGAGATCATTATTTCCAGCTTAAAAAACGCCCATCAGTTCTAGGTGGCCTGAGACCCACTGTTGTCGCAGAGAGTAGGGGATGCATCGCATTATTCTTTAATGTCTTTTGAATGGAAATGCTTCCCGTGTGGACACCCCTGGTGGCAGCAGTGAATGGCACAGGACCTGGGGCTGTCGAGGAAAGAAACTGCCTCATTGTACTTGGCCCGCAGCCCAGAACAGTGTTTGTCCGCTGTTCTTAACTTCACACGTATTTTGTAAACTTAAACCACTCTTTGGCGACCTTTATGGGAGAGGGGTTCAATTGCTTAGCCCCTCCTCCCTTACAATTGGTCCGTCCGCGTCATTAAATCCCAAACTGAACTGCTGTTTTCCAAATAATAAAGTGGTTGTTTCTACTTACAGCCTGTCTTTTCCTGATAGGATTATTGGTTAAAATGGCCCCATCACACCGCAGAGGTTTATTTGGCAATGGCAGAAATTAATTTTGCCCCTTACTTAAAGTGATTAAAGAACCACACTTTTATAATAATAATAATAATAATAATAATAATAATAATAAGTGTAAACTGTTTTATGTACCCACAACTGTAAACCTACTTCTGCCCCACCCCTGTATGTTTAAAAGCCAAAGTTGTCATATATGCCTCTAGTTAAATTTTTGATTTTGGCAAGTTAAATGTTAATAGTCTGGGTGATTTCCATCAATTCAGTGTCATTTCACTTGTGAAACAGACTTTTTAGATAACTAACACTTATCTATTTTAATCTACAGACACATCTACACTAGAGCCATTTCTAGCTGATGGCCAAATAGTTGGTGACCATAAAGACAATTTATCTACCTACGGCAAGTGTATACAAAGTACGAATTTCCCAGGC